AGCCAACGTCCGAAATTGTGCGGAGTACAAAGAGATAGATATGGTTGGTATTTTTAGTAGTTTCGAAGGTAGTTCAACTAGCAGACCCTGTCACGCGTTGCTGTGGCTAACTTTTGTGTTATATTACATTGTTGTAAACTCTTCACGGGGAGCAGTTGCCCCTTAATACAATTAAAATTATTATTTACTAACGAAGACGGAAACGTTAAAGCTGGTATAAGAATCCACTGGATTGGAATTTGAAAGGGAAAGACTCTTAATATGATTGAACAAAATTTTCATGCTATTGAATTTGATAAGAGTTAATAAAAAATAATTAATTTAAAAATATATTTTTTTATTTAAATTTTTAACAAAAAGTTTTCTAATTGGTGCACAATATTTTTGGATAATTCGTATTTAGCTAACACAAATAGATTTGACGGTTTTCCTACGCGTGAACACGCAACATTGCCCATGAGAAAAACATGGGTTTTCCGAATCTAAACCACAAATGAAATTGTTTGGCCTTGAGATTTATTTATCGTCATTGCAAAAGCTAAACGAACTCGAAATTGTAGCTACCGAAGGGTATCGTAGAATCCGATGGTATCATTGGAATACGTGGCAACCATTTCACTTTGGAACTTTCCAGATAATATGGTTGCTTCAACAATATTTCCGGTAAGATTTTTGATAGCCAAACTTGCACCATTGCACAATGGAGGAGGATCCAATTTACGCAGGAGAAAAATAGGTGAACCATTCTTTAATCGAAGATTATGTGGTGGCATTCCGAGTATATCTAGTGAATTCCAAAACTCAATTGGAAAACGTACACTTTTATTTTCATTAAGAGCAGTATCGATAGATTTAAAATACATCAAATCGCTTCTGAATCAATTCATTTTTTTCCTCAAGAACAGTGCATTAATTATTTGGCAGTTTAATGCTCTTTCAACACGATTGCGTCGTGTATCTCTGCTTCGAGGGTTGTTGAGGTCTTTTTCTATTATTTGACAGTCACAATTATCCGTTAGCCCCAAAATATTCTAACAGACAGTTAACTGTTGTCTGGATTGAGTAAGTATTCAATAAATGGCGCTATGTTAAAAACACAATTTAATGGCATAATAACTACGTATTGCTGTAACTAATTTGTAACCTAAGTTTATTTTATATTTGAATATTTAAATAATTATTGATGATGCTATTAAGTTGTAGATTATATAAAACGTTTGTATTTTTAACATAGCGCCATTTTTTAAAATCTTTTGGAGCTAACAAATAATTCTGACTGTCAAATAATAGACAAATAATTTGCAATAATATAATATTGCGATTAAAAGTTGAGAGTTGATCAAATTTAAAATCGGTTTAGTAGTTTAAGCATCCATCGCGGACAAACAACGTGACACGTGATTACAAATATTTCAAGTGCTCAAAAACTTCACTGTCACTCTTGTCGGAAATGGCGTCTTCCAATTCTAAACTACTAACTATTATTAGAGCTATTAATACGAAGAATATGTGCTCCGCCTAAGAGATCATTTGCATTAAAAACTTCACTTTTAGTCTCTTACATAATTTATAACCTTATAACGCGGTATTTCTAATTGATTACCTATGGACCAAAGCCCTAATAACGGTTTTGACAATCAACTCAACACATCAAACCAAAATTTCTGTGAAGGGTTGTCAAACTTTTACTTTTTGGTTTTCAACTCTATGCTGGTGTGCTTGACAGCAGTTCTGGTTCAGCATTACTGCGTTTATTTGGAAAAAAAATATTAGTATTAATTTAGTGTTAAAAAAACGATTGTGTTTACATCGTAGTCTGTGCCGGCCTAAAATTAAAATCATTTAAAATACATCTTAACAGCTGCCGGCAACAAGCAAACGGAGAGTTTGTGGTAAAATGCCTTCATTCCATTTACGTTTTCCCAAGCAATAACTAAATTGAAATGTTTTGACTTTTCATTAAAAATTTACAGCTTTAATTGTCTGAGAAATCGTTTTTTTTTATAGGTTGGCAAGGCCAAAGAAACTTCGAAATAGGCATAGTTCGTAATACCAAAAAATAGGTGGATTAAGTTGTCTAGTTTGTTGAAGGCTTATTTATTTTTCTTATTTATTTATTTATAAATGTGAAAAAAAATAATACAATTATTTTATTTACACGAAAAAAAGGAGCACTGGCTGCCAGGACCTTCGGCTCGCTGGTGAATCTAAGTGACTAGCTAGGTGACTAAAATTAAGTTCTATTGTCCACGCTTTATATATTTAAAAGGCTTAATGTATCACCATTTGAAAAATAAGAGATAGTCTTCAAAAAATAAATGACAAAGTGAATGATAACAAACATTCCCCACTAAATTTGAAGTTTCTATGTGTTTTCTTTAAAACGGTAGAGAACCTCGAAATGAATCACCATTTCCAAAATTAATACGCTTACTTAAATAATCAAAATACACCAGATAGACAAAGTAAGTAAATAAATAAAGTATTAGAAAATTGGAATTTTCAACAAAAGCTCATGAAGGATATCAAATACATTAAAGAAAATATGACAAAAAATATAATGCGTGTATATTTAGAAAATATTAAATTTATATAAACTATATACCGTCACCTAAAATGCAAAATAACGTAACATCACTTTTCATAAGCACACTCGTACAAACGAAGGAAAAACTGTATAATAGAAACAATTATTATTGAAAAATGTTGAGTTTTCTACAGGGGAAAGAATGAAACACGTAGGAAAATGGAACATGAGTGAAACAAAATTTAAATATTGGTTAAAACGGTGTTATATCTGATAGCCTAACCTTAAATTGTTGAACATATGCACTTATATGTCTGTAATTTGAACTAGTGGATCGTAATCAATAAAGCACTTATTTACCAATTTTTTTATCAGACGTTATTTTGCATTTTAGGTGACGATACGTATGTAACATGACTCAATTTTGATTCTTTTGATGAAACATTGTTTTGCAATATAGGTGACGATACACATATACCAAATAATACTTGCAAGTCAATAAAAAATCCATAATGACTGAAGTATAAATTTTAAATATTATGTGATTTTTTAACTTTTCTCAGCAAATTCTCAGAGCATATCTTCTTTCTAATTCAATTTCTGCATAAACACTTTTAAAGCGGATTTAATAATTTAAGAAATTAATTTTTTGACTTGATAGTATTTTATTTTTTATGTATATGAAACAATAGAGTCGTACTCAATTAAAAAATTTATAAAACTACATGCCCCCAACAAATTAAAATTTGTCGAAACACTTTTGATATTTGCTAATATTCAAAAATGAAACAAAATTTTCTATTAGTAGAGAACCTTTGGAAATGCAAAATTCACCGTAATTTGTAATTCAAAGTATTCCATAAAGCAGAGATGTGATTTTAATTTTTGCCTTAAGATTTACTAAACTTTCTTTGTTTTTTTTTTTAATTGAAACAGAAAATGTCTATATATAAATATATAGACATTATATATATATTTATATATATATGTTTATAACTTAATAAGCAAAAATAATAATAATAATAACAACACATGAATACGGTGTTTTTTTTAGGACGCACCATGTGGAACCGGTAACACGTTTTTAATATCACAACAGATAATCGCATTGACAATCTCGTCGCCATGGAATGCGGGTACTTTGCTTCATGTAAGTTTTTAGTTTTTCTTAAACACGAAAGCTTAAACTCGCTTTATGTGTAGTGGTTTTCGTTATTAAAAAATATATGTCTAAGGATATAGGACTTAGTTTCTTAAGCCTGTTATTTAAAAAGCATTCAAAACAAACCAAACGGAGTATCTACCTAATAAAAAAATAGCGGGTTAGCTGCAGTTTTGATAAAAAGTCCAATTATAATTTGAGATGAGTGCAGTTGGTCATGTTTCGGTGGTTATGTCCTATCACTGTCTGGGATCTTCACTTATCCTAAGTCAACCATAAATAGAAACAATTGCAAACTGACCCAGTGTCAGGGGAATGGTAGAATAGAATGGTAGAATAGAACTGGGAATGGGAGAATAGAACTACAACCAAATACGCTGGGCATCACGAAAAGACTTGATTAATTGAGAGTATATTCCTAATAATAAAAATTAATTATTTAACTGGCTAAATAATCGGGCAACACTATTAGTGACTAAATATGTAGAAATTGGCGAAATTAATTAACAGTTGTCCTTAAGCAAATGGCTGTTTTTTAAATCATTCGATACTGTTATTGAAAATTCTAAACTAAAATTATTAGATATATCCCGAAATGGTTGAGAATTGTCCAACTATTATTATTCAATCCACCTCAATTATGAAACGGCCCATATTATTGTAGAAACCATTTTGAACGGAAATTTTAATGGAGAACTTGAAAATGTTTATGGTTAAAACTTAAGAATAATCCACCCTTTTTCATTATCACAAGCATTATCTACCAACAACTTTGAAAACTAATAATTTTTTACAATTTGAATATAAAGTTAATAAAAAATAAAAATGTCAATATGTGATGGTACATTTTTTGTTAATTTATGCTTAATAACCAATTGAAGAAATACAATTTTACTGTATTGAATAGTTAATAATTAATGTATAGCTTAGCCACAGCAAAGCGTGAACGGGGTATTCTAGTTCTTCGATAAATATTCGTCAGCTAGAGATTTTGTTTGGATAAATAATATATCAAAATGCATTACAAAATAACCAAAAATAAGTCAGCATTCTCCTAAAACTATTTATTTAACAGTAAACACACAATTTGTCTGTTAATATCATTGAAAAAAAAAACTGTTTTTTCTCTAACAAACTTGCTTCAAAATATTTAAAAATTGTTAATTACTTTAATCCAGCTAATTCACTCACATATAATTTTTTTAACTATGTGCATTTATTGTAACCAAAATCTAATATATTATATAGTGTACGAATTGCTAAAGTTTGTTCGAATTTATCGCGCTTGTTGCCAAATTTAATTTGCCTTACCACAAGGGAATTGCCGTAATCCACAAGTAAACGTTTTCCTAATATTTAAATTCGTTAAATGTTGGAGGAGACAATCTTTAGCCACCAAAAATCAGACACTTTTTCATAAATTTTTTTTAGCGTACAATTTTGGTACTGAAGTTTTAGAGTAAGGAGCTCAATATTAATTCAAGCACAGTTATTTTTCATGTTTTAATGCATTTACTGCAATACTTTTAGCTATTTCGAGCAGCTGTAAGAAATCTTAAACACACACACACATATACATATGTTTTTCTAGCGATTTTCGCGCACAGTCTGCTTCATTTTGCCAAACTTAATTATGCTGTTATTGTATGTAGACACTAATCACAACACCGCACAGAGTATTTGGTATGGCAATTTATGCATTAGCCATTTAGTCACTTAGCCACAATTAGCGAACTGCTACTGCATGCGACCGAATGCCGCTAGAAACCCGTTTCAACTGAATCAAAACAATCACATACCGTTGATTTTATCGTTCAAAACAAAAGTACGGCAAACCCCTAAAAATATCCGCTGCTGTGCGTCGAGCCAAAGTGCAAAGTGTTGAGTGCCGAGCCCGAAGCAGCGCAGCAGTGAACAACGAACGTCAAGCGCCGAGCGCCGAGCGCTTGCACAATAAGCTTAGTGGTAACAGTTTCTTATCACAAACGTCAGGCACAAGTCACAGCTGATTCAGAGTGTTCCCGATTACAATCGGCGCTGAGAAATGCGGGAACAGAAATGCGTATAATTTTCCTGGGGAAATTGAAGAACAGTTGTCGCGCAATATACTCTGCTCTTCCTACTCGCGCTCTCCTGCGGCAAATGTTCCCAGTTTTACCTGTTTGTTTACAGCGACTGGTCGGATAAGAGTATCACCCTCTTAGAAGGGGGCGCACAAATTAGCGTCTGCTCAGCATATGTTTGCACTGAGCACACCGCAGCGTGGGCACACATGCACAGAGCTTAGCAAAAACTACCGCTGGCTGTGTTGTAAACATAGACTTTATCTGCTTGCCATCGCCATTATAGATGCACGAATGCTTAATATGTATTATTATAATACGCTTTACTTAAATACACTCATCAGCGTAAACTCATAATACGCCAGCGCTTTTTTCTCCGCTGATTTTTGTCGCATGCGAGAAATATCAATGACTGCGTATTTATTATCCTACTTCGTATTTAAACCGCCAATGTTGGCGTTTGTGCCTCCAGCGTAGCGAAACTTGTGACTTTTCGTTTCCCTTGCAAAGTCAGTCACTTTTTCCGCTGTTATTTGTCGTTCATTCGCTTTTCGTTGGTTTCCTAAGCATTTAGGTTAGCCTTACACACACACATCTGCACGTGCGTTCTTGACTTTACTTATTTTTTCTTATTTGGGATCATCTTCTACGAATCAGCGCGCTTCACACAACATTGTGGCCATTGACATCTGTTCGTCTTGATTACAGGTTTGTCTAGTGCGGTGGCTAAATGCCTGGTTGTCTAACCGACTGACAGCATGACTACTGGAATTTCAGCTCCCCGTGTGTGTGTGTGAGTGCGTGTGTTGTGCGCCCAGGGTGAAATGTCGTTAGCTCGCATGTCAGCACATTGCGTCCGGTGACGAGCAGCAGCGCAGGTACAATAACAGTTACATATGGAAATATGTTAACTTGTATATCCTGCATACACTTACACATAAGTATGTACGTATGGGGATGTGTGTTATATGAACTTGAGCATACTTTCGAGCAGCGTAAGCGACTTTAAAGTACGTAAGCGCGTTGCTGCTTAAGCTATATATGTCTGTATGTATGCGTGTAACATATATGTGATAGAGTTGGTTTCAATTGCATTATAGTCCATTTAACTGGATTTGCTTTGCTGGGATTTGCTGTTTAACCTGCATTAAAGGCAAACATTAATTTAACCAAAAGTCAATGAGTGTACATTTAAGTAGAATTTTACGGTAATAGTGGATACCCTGGAGTAAATTGAAGGGAAGTTTAACCCAGATGAACGTATGTATGGATATATGAAACTCCAAAACTCCGATGAAGTCTCTTTGCTTTCCTTAACTCGGACTTGTACACTGCATGTCCCGTTTTATACAACGCCCAGTTATCAGTAGAGTGATTAAACGCCTGCAGGATGCTCTGATTTCCGACAGTTCTATAGTTCACCAGAGAGCTTAGCCGTCACCAGTGCCGTCACCAGCGTTGTGACTTTTCGTCGTCGTGGCGCCCCCAGAACTAACGATATCAGAGATCATCTCTATTCGTCATACCCACCCCATCTGAAGCCTGAGCGTTGGCATATGTCGGGAGTATCCTGAGGACCACCCAGGATAGTACTGACGGGTCGCACGATCTGAGGATTTCAGATGGCCTTGCCCATAGCCCCTAACTCAGACACCTGACCAACATGCTTATCACTTTAGCGTTACACGTTTTAAATCCGCCAAGCGGCAGTCAGCCTCAGCTTGCTAGCTATCGCTGTCCTTCTTCTACACCCTGTAGAGCCATTCCTGATTTAAGCACAGGTTTCTTTACCTACGTCGGTTTCCTGCGGATTTCCACCGGTTTCCCTCTTCCTTCTACTCGTAGTGTCGTCCGACGATTCGTTATTAATAATAATCGATTTGAGCTAGTACCCGTATTTGAACTCATCCAAAAGATTAATGTGTTTCTTGTTATTAATAAATTCTATTAAGAGAAGGCACCATCACATTGCCTTCAAAAAATTTGGAAATTTTAATTTTAGCAGTGTGTTATTGATTGGTTGATTGACTGAAAGATGGGGAATGCACCGCGACCTATGGTCTATTGTGCCCTCTCCTAAATAACACAACAGTGTGTGATATTTTACTTGTTATTGATTCATAAATAAGCCCACTTGATATTTCTAACTTACTATATACATAAATATAATAACTATATGCCATATACATCATCATCTGAAGTGCAAAACAACGTAACGTTCATAAAATGAATAAAATGAAAATGAGTTTTTTATTGGTTGCGATGACTACATCTACAGTTTGAATTCTAGGTTTGTTTCATTATAAATAATTAATTTTTATACTCTCGCAACAAAGTTGCTAGGAGAGTATTATAGTTTTGTTCACATAACGGTTGTTTGTAAGTCCTAAAACTAAAGGAGTCAGATATAAGGTTATATATACGGATACCAAAGTGATCAGGGTGACGAGTAGAGTTGAAATCCGGATGTCTGTCTGTCCGTCCGTCCGGCTCCATAAGAAGGTTAAGTTCGAAAATGGGCAAAATCGGCCCACGCCCACAAAATGGCGAAAACCGAGAACATATAAAGTGTAATAACTAAGCCATAAATAAACATATAAAAGATAGAAGAAATGTGGTACAAAGGATCGCGTTAGGGAGGGGCATATTTGGACGTAATTATTTTGGAAAAGTGGGCGTGGCTCCGCCCCCTACTAAGTTTTTGTACATAATTCGGAAACTACTACAGCTATGTCAACCAAACTCTATAGAGTCGTTTTCTTCAGGCATTTCCATAAACAATGCGAAAAGTCTGATAATAACCACGCCCACCTCCCATACAAAGGTTATGTTGAAATCACTAAAAGTGCGTTAACCGACTAACAAAAAACGTCAGAAACACTAAATTTTACGAAAGAAATATCAGAAAGAAGCTGCACCCAGGCTTTCTTTAAAAATTGAAAATGGGCGTGGCGTTGCCCACTTATGAACCAAAACCATATCTCAGGAACTAATCAACCAATTTCAATGAAATTCGGTACATAATAGTTTCTTAACACCCTGATGACATGTACGAAATATGGATGAAATCGGTACACAACCACGCCTCTTCCAATATAACGCTATTTTGAATTCCATCTGATGCCGTCTCTATATAATATATACATTACGAACCAATGTTGATAGCGGAATAAAACTTTACACAAATACGGGATTTGAGCTGAGGTATCCCTTGTGGAAAAATTGTCTTGATCGGACTATAACTTTTCAAGGTCCCTGATATCGTACGCGAAGAACTCAGTGCCTAACCTAATTTTTCACCGAAAATATCGGTAAATCTCTCAGATATTTTCATGTAATTCAGAGGGCATCATTTTTATACTCTCGCAATAAAGTTGCTAATAACGGTATATATCGTCAGATATATGGTTACATATACCAAGGTGATCAGAGTGGCGAGTTGAGTTGAAATCCGGATGTCTGTCTATCCGTCCGTGCAAGCTGTAACTTTAGTAAAAATTGAAATATCTTGATGAAACTTATCATGCGATAGTATAAAATGTTCGGTAACACCCGAACTTAGCCCTTTCTTACTTGCTTCTTTCTCATTTAGAATTATTTAACGTGACTTAGCGTTTTATGTGATGATGTATGCATATTTATTTGCGCATTATGCAAATTATTTAAAATACATACATATATACATATTTATTCACATCAAGTAAAAGTATTTTTAAATCACTAGGCAAACGACTGCACAAGTTCAGACGCTTATTGGTGCACTTCCGCATATACAAACTTACATAGTACGTGGAATAAACATAGTATGCGCATAAATCTCTCTAATATACAACATCGTACATGAAAAATATTCCAGACCATTACTGCTTACAAAACGCCAACTTAGTTCACCGTCGGATCAATTTATGTCCAAAAGTGCACAGCATGGCATCTTAAAGCGCTTGCTATGAAATATATTTTAGAAATTGCCAATGCAGGTATTTTTGCAGTATACTTTTACTATGTTTACTATCGTACATAGGTGCATGGCACAGCTGCAAGGCGACCAAGGTAGCTAATATGTTTCCACTGTGCGAACAATGGCAGGGCACGTAAATAAATGCGCAAATCTAGCGCCAGATAAAGTGTTTAAAGCGTGAACGGAAGAAATGCGCCACCAAGCGAAGCACACATGCACACATACGCACACCGGTGAATGCAAGATTTGTTATTTCAATGCTCGTTTGTGATGAAATATAGCAAGCAGTTCAAAAGCGCGCCAATAGTTCAGTATGCGTGAACTCGTCTTACAAAGTGTCTCACAACAGCAGCAATGAATCCGAAGCAAGTGCAACAACCGTTGTCTGCATGCTTCAAGACGCATAGAAACATGCGAGGGATGTGCGTGTGTTGCCTCTGACTTTGTAGTCCATAGCGTGCAAATATGCTCGACCGCCACGTCGTTTATGTCACTGAATTTATAATCGAGCATTTACTATCTTCCAACTATAAATATTACATATAATAATAAAATAAATGCAAAAATATACCTTATTTATTTATTTATATAAATACATTTTGTTGCATTCTGTTCTATTAACTTCTACTCCCCTTCCGATGTCCTTGTAAACAATTTGATATATAAATAAATCTGATGTTGGATAGAGCAAACATTTAGTATTGATATGGCTTAATATTTTTGGCATCAGCATACATTGGCAGCCCAAGGCATATGGCCGAGTACTCCCAGGATGCGATGATATACGCGCGGAACTATGGATCGCGGTTAAACAACAAGCGATCGTCACGATGTCACAGCACGA